CTTTCACCAAGTTCTGGGAAACCTGAGAGTCAGGTTCCCTCCTTCCTCCTTCCTTCCTCCACTATGCCACCTCCGCCTCCATTCCTCTCCTCCCTCGGGGCAGGGTCAGTTGCTGGCCAGCTCGTATGCGCCTTCTCCGATCTAGCGTGCGCCCCGCGAAGCGAAGGTCCAGGTTCCCTTTTGTAGTGCAAGGCAAGAAGCCACCGAAAGCTTGTGCAGATGCGCGAATCAACACTCGAGCGCTGTCCGTTCGCGTCCATCGTCGTCTGGCCAGTTTGGCTGGTGTTCCATCCAACACGTGGGAGTGCCCACGTCCGCGGGCATCTCGTAGCGGTTGTGCGTCCCGCGCCTCTACCGCATGCAGGCTGTCGCCCGTTTCAAGGCTCCCTCCCGCTCGGGAGGGATCCGTCGGCTCAGGTGGCCTGAATGAATGGATCCGTCGGCCTTCCCCCCTCCAAGGAAGGGATCGAGCGGCACAGGGATGCTTCCCAGAGGGCCTCCCGGAGCGTTCTGGGGGACCCTCCGCCCCCTCCGTGCCTCCCCTGGTCCGCGGCACCCTCGCCGCGCAGCCGGCATGCTCCGAGCTCCGAGGGAAGCGTCCCTTCCACTACTCCCCCGGACCTCTCCCGAGGTGCGCTCTGACCAGGATTTCGAGGCGAATCCACCCGAGGCGACGAGGGCCCCCCAGGAGGCCTCCCAAGAGCCGCAAAAAATTTGCAAAAGGGTCGGGGTATCGGTAGCTTTTCCTCCTCTGATGCTGCGTCCCTTCCGCCGCCTTGTCCTCCGCCAGGAAGGGATCCGTCGGCTCCAGCGGCCTGAAGTCGCTCGGCAGCAGCACCCCGGACGGGCCGGTCCGGGAGGCGGGCGGGTCTAGCCGCCTGCAAGGGGGGGGGAGGAGGCGCACGAGGAAGAGGAGGAGGAGGAGGAGGAGGAGGACGACGAGGAGGAGGACGACGAGGAGGAGAGGGGGGGAAGAGAGGAAATGGAGAAGGAGGACGAGAAGGATGAGGAGGAGGAGGAGGAGGAGGAGCAGGAGGGTGACGACGACGAAGGATGATGATGGTGATGATGGTGAGGATGATGGTGAGGATGATGGTGAGGATGATGGTGAGGTTGATGGTGATGGTGAGGGTGAGGGTGAGGGTGAGGTTGTGGTTGAGGGTGAGGGTGAGGGTGGTCATGATGATGCAGATGATGCTGATGATGATAATGTTGCTAATGGTAATGGTAAGGCTGTTGCTGCTGCTGCTGCTGCTGCTGATGATGATGATGATGATGATGATGATGGTGATACTGATGATGATGATGATGATGATGATGATGATGATGATCATGATGATGATCATGATGATGGTGATGATGATGGTGATACTGATGATGATGATGATGATGATGATGATGATGGTAGTGGTGGTGGTGGTGATGTGTTAATACTGTTGATGCTGCTGCTGGTAGTGATGATGATGCTGATGATGATTATGATGAAGACGACGACGACGATGATGATGATGATGATGATGATGATGATGATGATGATGATGATGATGATGGTGGTGGTGGTGTATAATGCTGCTGCTGATGATGATGATGATGATGATGATGATGATGATGATGATGATGCTGATGCTGATGCTGATGCTGATGCTGATGCTGATGCTGATGGTGAAGATGATGGGCAGCAGGGGTGGGAGTTGGAAGGGAGGGGCGAGGAGATGGGGGAAGGGGGATAGATAAGCGGGGATAATGAAAAGGATGCGAAGTAAGAGCAGCAGCAGCAGCAGCAGCAGCTTCTGGAGGTGTCTGGGGATGGAGGTGCATGGGGATGGAGGAGCACGATTAACTGGATGTGCCACTTCGCCACAATGCAGCCCGCCGCTGCCTCGACTGCGACTGGTCTCGTGTGGCTGCGGGCAAGCAGCTGCCTGCCAGCCCACCGGGGCAGGGGCAGGGCAGGGGCTGGGCAGTGGGGGAGGGGAGAACCACTCATCCGTCCGTGTGCGTGCCCGCCCACCCACCAGGCAGCAGGCCGACATCTGGTTGTCGATTGGCCCGCCCGTGGAGCCACCCAGCCGCCCGCCCAGCCAAGTGCCCATCCCAGCCGCCCGTCCGTCCGGCAGCGGGCAGGGCCCCAGATTGGCGGGCGCGGCTCGGGGGGCTCGTGGAAGGGGGCTTCTCCCAAGGTGGGGTGAGGGAGCCGTTCAGACGTTCAGAAGGATTCTCACCTGCCCCCACTCCTGCCCATACCCCGCTGGCACTCCAAGGAAGCAGCGTGCGTACACACACACACACACACACACACACACACACACACACACACACACACACACACACACACACACACACACACACACACACACACACACACACACACACACACACACACACACACACACACACACAACACACACACACACACACACACACACACACACACACACACACACACACACACACACACACACACACACACACACACACACACCACACACACACACACACA